CAGCACGGTATGCCTCGTCATGGAGTCTTCGAGTGTTAATAGTTTTTTTTTCTTTCAGCGTCTGATGTCACTGCAAGAAGTTGTAGAGAAAAGCAGCACACACCACCATATCTGTAGTTGCACACAACGAAAACGTATTATCCATGGGACAGTGCTGTTAGGATCGTCACACACACGCGACGCGTTTCAAGGTATGTGATTCGCTGAACATGAAAGAGATTGCGGCCTATAGTAAACAAAAAAACACACGAAAATTCTGTTGTACGGAGCGCATACGCTAAATAAGTAAAACAGCACACAGAACGATGGGATTAGCATCATGACGGCGCTAGAGTCCGGGAAGTTGTGGGCTGGTTGAGTACCGGCGGTGGCGTATCCGTCACCGGGTAGGTGTCCGGCATGGGAGTGATGGAGTGGCAGCAGGCGTCGTAGCGCAAGTGAGTGTCGTCACGTTCGATAGATGGTAGCTGTCCTTTCTAGGCTGTACCCAGGATCTCTTCAGTGCCAGGACATTGTGAAGCTCATTCTCTTGACCTTGGAACGAAATTTGGTTGAATGAACTGCACGCGTTGATTCCGGTTCCCCGACAGCAGCAGACCAGCTAGCAGGTTTTGAGAGGCGCTGAACGTGAGCATCTCGCTGTCTCGACAATAGGCGCTGTGCAAGCACGAATTCCACGCGTCGGCATGAGTTGAGTAATCCTTCGGTTCAATCTGCCCAAATTTCCTGCTTGCTGGCTCTTCAATTTATAAGCTGCCACCACATAAGGTCTGCGTAGAAGGGAACTCGTTACCAATCCAAAACTTGCAGCAGCATTGTACAATTAAAGACGAATTACCTTTCGTTTGTAGACCATGTGTGGTGCAACCAATGAAGCATTGGTGGATGCAGGAAGACGATGGGTGCTCAGTTCGCTACCGACCCTTTTGGCCCAACTGACTCTCCGAAGCTGTGACTCCATTGCGAACTGTGCAGAACAGCCTTGCAACGCTCCTGGTGCCCTCCCCATGCACCGGGGCTTGGAGCTCAAATCCTGCACCACAAATCTTGGTCCCTTCTAGAATAAGACTTATGCGGTAGGGAATACCTTAACCGGTAATTTCGGTAAAAGAGCGTGATGCCATGGTAGTTGAGGAGTCGATCTTTGGCATCTCGAAGCGAAGGCAGGCTGCTGTGGGCCCGGTTGACGAGCGCTCATACTTAGGTGTGAGCAGCCGCCTTGTTTTGGTGTCCACTGAGCGCAGGGACCCACAAGGGTGTGAAGGCGATCAGGTGGAGGAGATAATTCAAGCACTCTAGGAGCCAGAGAATATATTTTGAGAGGGGCGAAATTACAACTTGGAGTTTTTGAATCAAAGAAAACATGTTCCTCGGAGGAGTGAACAATGACTAAGGCAATTGCCGCCTTCTCTGCTTCCCAGGTTTCTGTCGAATTCGGAATGACTGGACTTGCAACCAGTTTGTGAAATCTATCTACAACCGCTTCTGCGAAAAGGATGCTCTGCATATTCGGCCACGCCTACGTATGCTGCTCAAGAGTGAAGGGCCTTGGCTCCAACTTGCCATCTTGCTTCATTATGTTATGGATGAGTGAAAGTCTTGGGGGAGTGGCGAGATTATTATGTTGCTGCAAACAGCAATTGGAACTGGGTTCGTGGATGTGCTGTGACCAGGAACGTCGCTGATGCCAAGTCAGCACATGAGTGCCTGATACATTTTGGTAAGCGACAACATTTGATACTGACTGGAGAGATGCGCCTGTACAACTTTTCCCAGAGTGTTGTGCCATGCTAGTTGAAGTTTTTTATCCGTGTATGTTGATTTACAGAGATGGAGAGCAGATTTTTAATTAGTGCGAATGAGTGTGTTTTGTTCATTGGTTGCCATTCGTAAGGCCCTGCCGATTGCTTCGAATACAGCAGGGAGGCCCCCTCAAGGATGAGAATAAATATTTAGGATAAATTATGTGGTTTGGCTGAAATGACGTAGGAGAAGTTCAAGAAAAATGCAGTGCGAGTAAAGATTGCATAGATCATGTGCTATAAACGAGATATTCATGTGTATATTCGTGGTGGCCGACAGGGAACTCGCATGCGAATATACAGCCTGATAGCCAGAAAGCTTGCAAGCTTGTAAAGGCTCCTGTACGGAAATGACATCAGGGGTGGGAGTAGACTGCTGTATGTAAAGTGAGACGTTGTCATTCATGATTTTTTTATTCCACTGCGATTCCATTCCCATATAAAGAATGACGGAAGGGAGGATATGGCAAGAGTAGGAGAGAGAGCTATGTCTGCGAAGGCGCTCGAGAAGGGTGGAATTGTGGGAGAGTTTTCAAAAAAGAGGATCAGAGCAACTAACATGTCTAGAATATTCTCTGTCTTAGTGAAACGATCCGTAATTTATGTGCAGCCTAAATGAACCTTTTATTTGAGTTTATAGTGTTCTTTCTTAATTTTTACTCGTACATTTAAGATCGTCGATGATTCTGGCTTGTCATCCTTTCATTTCTTGTGGTTGGGGGGGGGGCTGGGGGGGATCCAAAATGAGTATCCGGCTGGACCGCAATATCAAGCTCATTTATACAGGGGGAGAGGGATAGGGCTGAAGAGGACGCACGTGCGATGGTTGCAAGTGTAGTTAAACGTTTAAGCACCAGAGCCAACTGTAGCCTTAACTTTTGATAATCCGAGCTTGTGACTATGCCTGCTATTCTAGAATAACTATAAATAACGCATCGCGAAACACATTTAACCACTCATAACATTCCTTCATGACCGTGATCATGCGAGGCACAGTGCGTGGCATGTGAAATAAACGCTGTGGTAAACCCAAGTCAGATGTGTGTCTAACCTCTTTAAGAAGCACGAAAAGGTAACCAATAATGGTTAAACGTTTCAGAGTCACGTCAGGTTGAACCATTGGACAAAGACCGGGGCCACACGTTCCAGCTCTCGCTGGTGCAGGTAAGTTGAGTGATCAGGGAACGCAATGTGATATCATGATTATAGCTGCCAGCAACTAAATTATTCAAAATTTAATAATTTATTTTTACTAGCTTCCTAAAGTTGGCATATATGTATTGAAAGAAATTTTCGGTAGTTGTGTTTGTACACAGTTTCACTTGAAGCCTTTCTTCTAGCACGCCTATGCTCTCAGATATCCAACTTCAATGTTTAATTGTTATTCGAACTATTACGCATCTAAAAACGCTCAAGTCAGCGCAATGCTCCTTCATATATAGACGCACCTGAGTCAAGGAGACGATGCGAGAATGATTTGTCCTTTGTATTGCTACGAAAGGCAGGCCTTTTGAACGCTGTTTGAGGCATTGACGTCTTGATGGGTGAAGTGTTTCCGTGCATGACAAAATAAGCTTATCTAGCAGCAGGAAATACGAATGAGCAAGGATAAACCTATTTCAGGTATTAATGGAGCAGATGTTGCTTTTGATTGCAACAGAAGTTACGGTAACCAGACACCACCAGTCACGCTATCTGCGTAGCAGAGGCAAGGACAACGCATGCACGCTTCTCTAGTCATTATTATGCTCGTGCACTGGTGACTGGACTCTCTGCCCACACAATTATCTGACTATGGCACCTGCCACTATCGTTAGACTAATATGTGGGGTTTAACGTCCCAAAACCACCATATGATTATGAGAGACGCCGTAGTGGAGGGTTCCGGAAATTTCGACTACCTGGAGTTCTTAAACGTGCACCCAAGTCTGAGCACACGGGCCTACAACATTTCCGCCTCCATTGGAAATGCAGCCACAGCAGCCGGGATTCGGTCCCGTGAGCTGCGGGTCAGCAGCCGAGTACCTTAGCCAATATACCATCGCGGAGGGGCCACTATCGTTAGAGGCTACGCGGTTGCGTGTTACGACACTGGCCAAAAGGGTTCTTCGATTTTTATTTCGCCGACAGACAGGGCAAAGGTAAGTGTCATTATCTGTACCTACGCTTCCACACTATTCACAGACTAAACGCCGTACGTAACAGACGTATCACTTTAGCAAGGAACCTTGCGCTTAACCTCAATAACTTGCATGCGTAATCATGCGGATAACAATTAAACTTTAGAGCCGGATATCTTGGAGCGCAGGCGAGCTAGAAGAAAGCTTCCAAGCGAAACTGTGCACCAACATCATTGTTCACATTTTTTTTTCAATACAAGCATGCAAACTTACTGAAGCCAGCTGAATTATTATATTTGTGGTAATAGTGCTGCGTACAGCAATAATTATCCCCTCACTTTGCGTCCCTGAGTCACCTAACCTATTTGCACTAGTGGTTTTCGCCTGCCTACTAGTGCCTTCTTGTGGGTATTTAAAAAAAACGAAAACTGGAACCTTAACTTTGCACACCCGGAATACAGTTCACTCGTTCTCGTTAGCCACAATGGAGCTGATCGGCAGCTTTTTCTGACCATGCTAAAACAGTTTTGCAAATCCCCGTCAATGCAATTCATTTAACTCAAGTAACCTGTATGTGAAGTTTAAATCAAGCTAAACTTGAGCAGTAATAAAATTAATACACAGCTCAAGGACAATTTTCTTAGCTTTACCATTGTTATATCGAGTGCTACGAACAAGTTTTTTATATGCAGTGACCAAAAAATTCATTTTTCACGCAACTCCGGCCAATGTGACTGCAGTCTTATTGCATACTAAAGTACACCTATATGTTTTGATGGTGTGTAGCGGCAATTATAGGTTCTCCAGAGGAATGTGCATGCTTCGAGTCACAATCAGTAGTTGTACATGCCCTCGTAGGTTCGACCAGAGTTATTTTCGTCGATGATCCAATGATTGCAATCCCGCTAAAAATGCCTTCGTACTACAGGCGATGCAACAGGTGGCAAGCATTCGAACGAATAGATAAGCAGCGCCACATCCCGTTCACGACTGCCAGCTGCGTGAATTCAGCCCATCAGTATAAAGACCGGGTGCCATCAACATCCGGCAAATAATACCTATATTCAGGTTCATCAAAAACGATGGCGTTGATTCAGGACTTGTTCCTAGCGTTTCTGAACGCTGTTTCAGTCGTAGTGTTCTTAAATTTACCAGACAAATCTGAATATGATGTAAAATTGAAAAGACAATATGACTATATCATCGGTGAGTACCACACTAAAGTCCATTCTTGCTGTTCCTTCAGTTGCAGAGCCTAGGCCAGCATGTCTAATATAATCGACACGGTTGCAATTCACGCTTTGTCGTATCTTGCATTTATTACACTTCTAACAGCGAAAACTGTTGTGAGACACAACATTGGTCATGAGCGACAGCCGTATATGTCCACCGCCGCCACCACCACCGCTGGTGTTTGTAACAGCTTTCGCACGAAATATGAAAATGGCAAACAAAACTGCCAAGGACATAGTGGGACTAGAACCCGGGTCCGCTGCTTGCCAGCCCAGTATTGCACCAGTGAGCTACGGCGGTGCTTGTGACTTCCTCGAAAATTTACCTTAGGCCTGCCTGACTCCGAGAAAGGAATCGCATTAGTATGAATACTAAAGCGTTTTAGAACAGCCAATGGAACCACCAGGCGTCACGTAATACCAAATTTGGTATATGTGAAGCTAGCGAAAGTGGCGGCAAGTGCATCATGAGCATGGCGTGTAGTCATGTTCCTATATGACATGCATGCCAATATTATCGTGTTTGCATCAGTCATATCTCTTCGTTATCCATTCACGTCACGAAATATAGAATTGTTATATCTGAAGCTAGCGCAATGACGGCGAGCGCATCATGAGCGCATGGTGTGTAGTCATGAAGTTACATGACATACATGTGATGATTTCCGTGTTAGGGTCTGCCACTTATGTTCGTTACGTAGTCCTGTCATACCATCGCTGTTTTGCAATGTGTCATGTGAACAAAGCCATCGCATGAGAAGGAAGACCGTGACATAGAAATCTTGAAATTCATGTCATACATACCATTATTTTTCATTTATGACTTGTCACTTACGCTCGCCATGCAGTCATGTTATGCCGCACGAACTTTTGTATAGAGCCCATTATCGAAACGGCCTGGAGAGCTAAATGTCGTAGGTGGCTAGATAGATAGATCGACCGACAGATACGCTGAATGCCGTCGAAGTTCGCTTAAAATTGTTTCGCTATAAAAAAAACGCAATGGACATGGTACTGGTCACACAGAGCAGTGGAAGGTGCTCACTGCGCTGGGAGCACCTTCTTTGAAAAGATTCCATGGAGATATACTTTACACCGTACCCACTCTTTCTAACTAATTTCATCAATTAAATATTGAAATATGAATAATCAGTGCACACATACCGCACGAACAACACGTAAATACATGCTCACTTAGGAAACTAATGTAGTCTAGCTTTTTATATTTGTCATTGATGTAAATGTTTTCTTGCACAAAATTATATTATATTTTAACAGTTTGTGTTCCTGAATATCTGTTCCATATGACTTTGATTTCTTTTTTTTTCTTTTTCCTCTTCAGAACTCGTGTGCTATCACTGCTTACATTGTAAAGATGGCTACGGGCCTCTGTCACACTCTTTGAGTTTCAAGCGACTTTTACCGACAGTTTCCTCAATCTTTGATGAAAATAAAGAAGTTGCTATATTAAGGAATGCGAATCCCCATATGATATAGACATTTGATCATGCGCTTGTACCAAAGAGAAGTCTTCTACATCTTGTTCTTCATCTGCCATGATCGAAATGAATGAAATTGAGAGAAAGAACGCAGAAAACTTTAAAAATAGAACAAGACAGAAAGCCAGTATAAAGATACAATCAAATAGAAACATTGGAGACTGCCCGACTGCGCACCTTATTCAGACTTGGCATCATCACTGCCAAGCTGTCTTTATTTTCAATTCGAGTGTCGGGGTTTAGTTGATGTACTCAGTCCTCATTTTCCGTATTGTTTTTAGGGGGGGGGGATGACGCGTTTTGATGGTTAGCACTGGTTTGAGCATCAAAAGTGAGAACGAGGAATAAAGTGGAGACAAAGACGTCACGGTCTGTTTCATCTTCGTGTTGGCGATTATATAGAGAAGATTCACCTTATAATCGACAAATATCCTTGGATGGGTAGGAGCCATGTGCAGAAGAAAACAACAACAAATCACTATTGCAACGGACTAGTTGTTTAGAGCCAGAAAACTTTCGCTGCGTTGGCACTCACGCAGCGCTATGAAAGAAGCCTAATACTCGCTTCCAATGAGCGAGAATATGTTCACAATTTGCTGGTGGTTATGACCCAGCATGTATTTCTTGGTCACCGCAGTTGGCGCAGGCTCCGCAGGATGCGCTCTCGCCAACCGCCTGACAGCTGATGGCAGTTCCACCGTGTTGCTTCTCGAAGCCGGGGAACTGGAAGGAGCCGCCCTGCAGGTTCCTTTTTTCTCAGCGATCTTGCAGCGGAGTAGCGTAGACTGGGACTACACGAGTGAACCACAGCAGAATGCCAGTTTATCCGCGGAAAACCAGGTGAAGTTGCATTGAAATGAACTTTCGGGTCAAACTCATCCCAAAGAGACTGTGCGTATAGGCCGGGTTCTCACTCTAGCATTGTCTTTGGTCTTCTCTGTCTAGCTCTGCCTGTTTCTGGGGTGCTATAGTGCGTCCTGACAGGAGCGTGATTGTCGGACCGAAATACGTGCTGATATGGAAGTGGTAAAGATGTTACGAATAACGGATACGTATGCAGCCCTGGATTATGTCGCCATACCTACACAATGATATTCCTTGGAGTTTCTCTAATGATTTACTTGCACCTAGAAATAAATACATAAAAATATAACATACATGCACTTAGTGATAAACATTTTATATACACAAAGGTCTAGCATAGTTTGCTACAAGTGCATGCAGTTTAGTAAGAGAATGTCTGATGGTTAAGACGCACTTGTTGTGAAGCAGGTACGCCGTGATAGGCAACCTGAATTCATGGCCCTTGCGGAGAAGCAGTGCACGTCTTGAGGCTTCAAATAAGCTCAAATGATCGTGCGTGAATTCCAAGGGAATGATTGTTTTGTCAGTTTGGCACCTATTATCTGTGCATTTTCGGCCCAGCCATTTTCTGGGAAGCTAGCCGCATCAACTCTGGAAATAATCATCGGGTAGCTGCTATAACTTGAAAAACGGAGAACAATAATTTGGTAAGTGTACTTAATCCAGGAAGGTTAATATTGCGGCAACTGAAGAAGAAGCTACTTACTGTAAGAGTGAACAGGAAGAAAGCTTGGACTATGATGCCCTTCTAGCGAGGTCGTCTTAACCGTCTGAAAAATGAACAGAGTGCTTGTCCTCCTTCGCAAAAGCAATCGATTTAAGGGCAGGATTTATTTCAGCCTCTGCATTGACGAATGAACTAATTGGTCACTCAAACAGCAATGCTATTGGCACCTCTTCGTGTTCAATTATAGAGTCGTGCTAACGAAAAGAAAGATCAAAGCATTCTGCAAGTACCTGCTTACACAAGCGGCAGGTAATTTCTTAGGAGCATCTTGAACGCGCTGCAATTCACCATGCTGAGAGGGCATTATAAAAAATGTATTGAATAAATCTCAGCAAATGTCTATTTTAAATACGTCCGATTTGTTATAGAATATCTTAATAAATAAACACAGGCTGCACGGTGTTAAAGAGGTGTGGCGAACTTTTAAAACATCCCACAATACATTAGCTACTGTTATTTGAACCTAAAATTGGCAGCAGATGTCCAGCATGTGGTTACGTGCATATATCACAAAGTGTTCATCCCATTTTCTCTAAGGAAATCAGCGTCTTGTCATGTAAGGTAAAATTATAACATCCAACTTCGCTACCATAATGCACGCGCGTCATTGCAAGCAATAAATTGTCTTTCCTTATCTTATTGTGCCCTCATTACGCACATAATGCAGCAGCCGTCATTTCACTTTGCAAAGTTCATTGAGTATAAAAAAACAGCACGACATCACTAGATTTGTGCGACACAAAAGTGATGTGATTGAAAGGTACTTTGTAGAAGTTGCTAATTTTACTTTGCGCTCTGCATCTTCTTCGTGTGCATGAGGATTGGTACTGTAACGAAGACGTGTTTCGTGGGCCCGAATAATTGATGAATTTAAATCAAAAGGAGTGAATGCGATGTGGTCCTTTTTTAAAACTAGGGGGTGGGAATGATCGCCTTTGAATTGTATCGCAGTCCCTTGTCATGCAGCGAATTGCCTGTCCCTCTATTTTTTTTTCTTCCTCTTCTTTTCTCCTCTCTCTCTCTCTTCTTAATGCTCAAATTTTCCTTCCTCCATAACCGGTGTAGGGCAGCCAATCAGCAGGTTAGCTTCCCTGCCTTCTTTTTTTCTTTCAAGCCTTCAGCGTAGTTTCTGGCGCAAGTCTTTCGACTTTCCTATAGGTCACTTTGCTCATGACAATTCGTACCTTCATTCATCTTACTGTTACTGGAATTACCTTGTTGAAGACTATGTAGATTGCTTGCAGTGAGCGTGGTTTCTCGTAAAGTGGCCCTACAAAAATTTTCCAAGCAGCCTTGTCATGGATTCACCAAAGGAGCCTATTTTCTTACCGAAATCAGCCCGCATATTTTTTTTAAATACACTCAGTGCGAGTAGAGGTTCAAAGATTTGTCACACGCACCACCAGGATAACTTTTCTATAATTTAGTTTTATTCGAATGCATGAATTTTCAGTGTGATCACGCACACACGCATTACTAAGACGCGGCCTCCAGTGGCAGCATCGGAAACGACCGAGCACGCCATCCTCAATTTAGCCTATAGCTGATACGTAGCCAAGACGTGGTGATTTTTCAAGCCTGTAATGCCACTTTTCGATAGAAGAGAAAGCGATTTAGAGCTGACTATGAAACTTTTAATGTAAAAAAAAAACAGGCAGGGTGCTGCGCTATATTATTTGGCACGAGTGTTCTCTGGAAGCCTTGACTTTACAGCAGCGTTTTCTTAACTTGCTCAAATAAAAAAAAAGGCAGGATTGCGTGGAAAGGCACAGCACAGTCACAGCGAAAGCATATAGAGCGCGTTTTTAGAGGTTTTTTGAAGCGCTCTTTAGGTAAATGCTACAAGCACACTTGCTGGGTACCGACTGCGCCATAAGTGTTCATCGTTTTTGCATAGTAGGCTGGCATTTGCTATGCTAAATCATTCTTCAAAGAAGCGTGGAGTCGGCTGAACACTTGTAACAAACTTTCTGGTGCATTCAGTGGCCGACGACGATAAACAACTACGCTTCAAGTAGGTATGTGCCACAGTGAATGGGCGATGAAGGACAAACTTTTGTAATGTGTTGAAGAATTCGATGACCTTATCGTAACACGATTCGCATTTTGTCACGCCTGATTATTTCTTTCGTGTTCTAAATACTTTTATTACTCATATTACCGTGAGTCCTTTACCGACATCAGGCCTGCCTAAAGCAGGTTTCAAAACGAATCCCAAGCACCGGCACAACTCAGCGGTAGAAAACTGGGCTGGGACGCAGTGGACCCCGGTTCAAATTTCTCCGTGTTACTATAAGTCTTATTTATTTATTTACTTATTTATTCATACTGCAATCCCTATTACAGAGATTTTAGCAGGGTGGTTACTGATATAATTTTCACAATGTTGGCACTCAAGATTGCATAAACCAAACAAACAAACAAAAAAATAGAACAGCATGACGTAAACAATCAGGTCAAATTTGCTGCAAACAACTCTAAGGACGGCTCCATCACTTGGTTATTAGTTAATCCATTCCACTGAGTTACTGTACGAGGAAAAAAGGAATATTTGAAGCAGTTATTTCGGGACCGGAAAGGGGTTATTGTAAGTTGATGCCTTTGGCGGGTGGCGTACCCAGAAGAAAAGGAAATGATGTTGGAAACATCAAGCTTATAATGCTCTTTAATTATTTGGTAAAGAAATTGTAGTCGTATTAAACGATTTCTTTCGGTAACTGAAGGCTCATTGGCACGATGTAGGAGTTAAGTTATAGAGGTGCGTCCAAAGCTATTAAATATAAAGCGGACTGCCTTCTTCTGTACGTTTTCCAATTTAGTTATGTTAGCTTTAGTGAAGGGGTCCCAAACAATCACTTCATATTCTAACACTGGGCGAATGATAGTCCTGTACGCTAGAGTACGCACCGTGGAATTAGAATATTTTAGAGCTCTTCGAAGGAAGAATAGTTTTCGGTTTGCGTTTGTAACTACGGAGTCAATATGTTTAGTCCAGCTAAGGTCATTGGTAATCCAAATGCCAAGATACTTAATGTTAGTTACCTCAGAAAGGGTGAAACTTGCGGTGGAATAATTAAATAGTAAGGGTTTTTTCTTGTGAGTTATTCGCATAAATACTGTTTTATCGAAGTTAATTGACATCTGCCATAAATTACACCACTTCACAATGTTATAACAGGCACTATTCAGAATGATTTGATCGGTTACATTGGATATTTCAGAATATATGACACAGTCATCTGCATACAACTTGATTTTTACAGGAACTTCATTCACAATATCATTGATAAAAATTAAAAACAAAAGGGGTCCAAGAACCGTACCCTGTGGGACGCCAGAGTCAACGGTTGCCTCTTCTGAACAGCATTCGTTAAAAACAACAAATTGTTTACGGTTTATAAGGTAGTCTGCTATCCATTTTATTAGGCGCGGATTTTTAAGTGTTTTCTCTAATTTAAAAAGTAATTTCTTGTGTGAGACTTTGTCAAACGCTTTTGAAAAGTCCATAAAAATGGCGTCAGTTTGTGTCCCATTGTTATTTGAAGTTGCGAAATCGTGAATCGTCTCGACAAGTTGCGTACAGGTTGAATAGCCTTTTCTGAATCCGTGCTGGTGTTTTGTTAAGATATTATGCTTACTAAGAAACTCAGAGATATGCGTATGTATTATGTGTTCTATAAGTTTACAGGTAGTTGACGTTAATGAAATAGGACGATAATTTGAGATAAGTTGCTTTTTACCCGACTTATAAAGAGGCTTGATACTGGCGGCCCTCAAATCATCTGGTACTCGACCTTCGTGTAGCGATTTTGAAAATAAAACATACAGATATTTGGCGATCCACCTGGCATAACGCTTTAAAAATGCGTTTGGAATGCTATCCGGTCCGTGTGTTTTTTTAACATTGAGTTTAAGTAGCATATTTAGAATGCCATGCTCACTGATAACAACGTCAGGTATAGGTGGATAATCTGCATCGAATGAGGGAAGAACATTATTGTCAATGGTGAAAACCGATTTAAATTGTTCATTAAAGGCATTCGAAATAACCTTGCTATCATGCACATCAACGCCATCAATTACAAAAACATTACATTCAGTAGATGTAGGCTTAATGCTCCGCCAAAATCTCTCAGGACACGTTTTAATTAAGTTTGGTAATGATTCTCCCATAATACAGCTGTTTGTCAATATGGATTTGGTGTTTTAGTTTAGTTGCAATTTCTGAAATCTCTTCGTTTATACCAGC